TGCTTTAACAACTGTTTTTGAAGGCGTATATTTAAACCTAGTAAATGCACTGTTTCGTTTTTCCTGTTTGGTTTTCAAGCTAAGTGCTGCGCGTGCGTGGCGTTCCCAAAAAGCCTTGCCCTCATACTTCCGTTAATTTACAGAGTTTACTGTATTTGTGTAATTTTACAATACTTTTTAGTCATCAATTACTACTGATGACCTCATAAGTAGGTGTTCTTTACAAATAACTGCACACACTGGCTGAACAAGTCAATTTTCGTAAATTATGAAAGAGGTAGGGGAACCATCTTGATACACCGGGTTATCTTTGTAAACAGACACATCCGGTCTTTGTTAAAGTTTATTTTAACACAATAAAACGGTTAAACTGCGAAGCACGTGCCTCACAATGTTTCTAAAAAAGATACATCGTCATATTTAACCGAAAATTGCGTTCATTATAGGATGCTATTTTATAGAAATCCTTCTTATGTATTGTACCAATAAGAATCCACGTTGTGCTGACATTATGTAAATGAAGACGCGTTTCCTTTACTTTAAGATGAATTAAAGCAAGTTTCGCCAAAACACCCACACAAAAAAGCATTTTTTGGACATTATTAAAGTTTAATAGTGTGTACCGACATGTTCTATTGAAGACGTAGTAATAATTGTATGCAACCACAAGTGAGTTTGGTCTTAGCACATAATATATAGTTTCTGGTGACGTCAGGCTGGTGTTGTCAGTAAGGTACATCCTTACCTGTTACTCCATCTTTGGAGTTTCAGAACATGATGAATGGAGGTTCATGAGATATGATTAGTATCTCCCTCTTGTAGGGAACTGCAACACCCTACTTGAGCCATTCTGATTTTAAGATTGTACAATGTAAGTTAATTGATATATCGTTGAATGTTTTTCTAATAGAGAGAAAACATCTAGATGAGGAGATCAAAGACGCCAAGTCTACCAGTGACGTACTATTAAACGACCTGAAAGCTTGTAAGTCACTGAATTAATTTTAGAGAATATAACGTACCAGCATTCAATTAAATATCTATCTTTGTAAAAATTGATCTAAGAAAAATGTTAATTTTTAGAACACATATAACACATGGATTGCTCTTGTTTTTCAGTGCTCACTGAAGTTAATGAACTGGAAGGAATACATGAATACAAACAAGGTGCAGTGGGGTTAAACATATTATATTTAGATATATATACCTATAGATAGATAGATAGATAGATAGATAGATAGATAGATAGATAGATAGATAGATAGATAGATAGATAGATAGATAGATGGACAATTAAAAGTGTTTCACATGAATTAGAAAATAAAATAGAAGAAAGACACTGCTGTACCTTTCCCTTCCTAAGCAGGCGTCTAATCTCCACTCTGTCCAGGTGCCAGCCTGGGTTAACCCCCCGGTTGTCATGGCCAATGCGGATCTTCTCAATTACATCCCCCACATCTTCTAACTGCAAAGAAAACCAAATAAATTGCTATTTAAAAGGAAAATTTACTGGGGAATAATGCTGTTTCAGTATACCAGGAGGTTAAACACATTTGTGTTTATTTATAACTTTTTAAAACTTACTTCAACAATAAACATGTCTTCAGCTCCTCTTTCAAAGTACATTCTCCTCTCCCTCTTGTTGACACACAGAGACTTCTGCTGAGTGCACACTCCATCTTTTCCATACAGAACAATAAACACGTCTGCGTTTGTTCCAGCTCCAAACATATCGCTTGTGAAGGTCTTTATCTCATAAGGGACAACTGGAAACAAACAATTCAAAAGCTTTTTTGGAACAAAAAAAAAATGTTTTATATGAGTGCAATGTTTAACAGTGATTCTTACATGGTGTGTAAAACTCTGTCTGAAGAGGGTTAGGAAAAAGATCCCTGACGATGGCCCCATCATCTTCTCCTCTGTCCAACCAGCGGCCACAGGGAAAGCGTAACTTCTGTCCAACAGACTGGGCGTCAATCTCTACCCAGTCAAGGAACCACCCTGCAGATCCTCCGCCTTAAACAGCCAAGGAAATGTTATCGTATGCTGATGTATTCCAAATCTATATCTACCAAACCATCTTTATCTACCACGGTTGTCATGTCCAATGCGCAGCTTTGTCAAGGGTCCAAGGTCCACAGCTTCCACTGTAAATTCATCAATCATGCCCCGCTCAAACTTATTTCTATGAGTCTTTGATGCCTTCAGAGTAATTATGCCTGCCAATATGCATATAATACATAAATACATCAAGATATATACAACTCCCACACAGTATAATAGTTGAAATTGTCACCTGTGTCATCTTTGGTGCCAAACAGGGTCATGAACACATTGGCATCTGTTCCTGCATATTTCTTGTCACCTGTTTTTATTCTTACTGTGTATGTTGTGGACATGGCTGTAATAAAAATATACAAAAGTTCATCAATTTGTTTTTCAACAGCAAAGTTTTAAGGTAAATGGGTATAAAATATTATAACAAAAATCAAAAATAGAAGGTATAAAGCTTTCTTAGTTGAAATACAATGCCCCTGCTGACAGACTGCTGTCCTTTTTTCAATAGTTTCTCTATTCTCTCACCTTTTTGTTCCAAACCAAGAGTTGCCTCAGACTCGTCTTCATCTTCATCCCCCTTCTTCATGAAGGCTTCATCCACAGGGACCAGCTCTCTAGCAAGCTGCCCATCATCTTCATCAACAGCAAGCCACCGTTTACATGGGAAAAAATACCTAAATCCAAGTAAAACATTTTCTAAATAGTTTAAAAAACGATGCAATTTTAATTATTTCCAATGTCTTCACATTGCACCAGTGCATATTTTTATTCTCTACCATGTCATACCACATGGTGGAGCTCTATTGACATCTATGTTCTATTTATTAAATTTGTCTGTTATCAAAAATCCTGTTAAAAAAATAGCTCTTCTGTTGTGTTAATAACATCCTTCATCGTTGAACTCAAAGCTCTTAACATAAAAGACCAGAGACTTCTGATCTAAAAAAACTGACAGATCACTGCTGTCTTTCTGTCTTCACGACTCACGTAGTGTCGTCTTTGGTGTCTACAATTTCCACTCTGTCCAAAAACCAGCCAGCACTGGCCTGGCTGTTGTCATGTCGGATCCTGAGCTTCTTCAAGACCCCGAGATCGACTGCTGTCAGGCTGAAAACATCCTCCTAAGTTACGCAGAATATAGTGACAAAGTGGAGTAAAGATCTGTGCACTTAACAACCTTATTACATATTTATCAAATAATTTTTGATCCCGCATAACTCAGGAAATGTTGCATGTATAACAAGCAGTTACACTATGCTGACACAAAACCCATTTACAGTAATGGCAAGGGTGAAAAACTTTGTCTTTGTTATTAAGCTTTCATAAGAAAAATGTATTTCAAACTGTTATTAATACCCTACTCACTAATCAATAGAAAAAAAATATTTATTGGAATTCAAGCAATCAACGCAGTCTGTTTCCAAAGGTCTTTGGCTGATTTGTCTTTCGTGAAAAACTTTTAAGTCTATCAGGTTGGAAAGCATCCTTGCCATCACCCTAATCTGTAACGCTTTCCTTAGATTTAAGTTAAAACTCTGACTGGGGAAATTTTTATCTCTTCCAACCAGGACAAGAACTTTTGCTAAATCAACTGATCACTTTAAACCAAAATATGTTAGACCTACCAATAATTATGGTCCTTAATGGGAATGGGAATTTAAAACCTACAATTGGAAATAGTAGCTTTTATTAAAGTTTTGTGCCACAATTATTGCTACTCTACTTTTACCAAAAATAAGCCAACTGAAGGATGTTTTAAAGTGGTACTTATTAAAAGGATAAATAGTAAAGCTCATTTAGGAGCTGTAGCAAAAAAAGACATTTTGAAGTAAAAAAATCTAAAAACAACAGACACTATCCCAATGCTAACCGGTTATTTGGAAGGTATGTCAGGAAAAAGGTGATTATTGCCTATAAATACAGGAAAATGATGGACTGCAATTAAAGCTGGTTTCTGATGAACTTTGGTATTATATTTTAAACACAAGCTACGATTTGGCAAGAAAAATTATTCTAAATCTATCAAAAAAAACAAAAACAAAACAACATTCAAGAAAAATTAGCAAAATTTCCCTTGACAACAAAGATACAAAATTAACTTCCTCTGCACATTAATTACCTGTCCTTTCTCAAATTTATTCAGGTGATTGGATTTCCTGAGCCACCGCTCTCCTGTATCACCAGTCTCTCCGTAAATAGTGATGTAGACTTTGGCATCAGTCCCAGCCCCCCACATTGTCCCAGTGTATACATAAACTTCATAGGAGTTTACTGAAAGGAAAGCACAGTAAATCTTCAGTATTATGATAATCCATGCAGTGGCTAATTAAAATACTGCCTGTCAGGCTTTAGAGATAAGTAGTACATTGATGCTCCACTTACTCTCCAATTCCTCATCATCCTCTGTCAGCAGTTCAACCACAATCTCCCCATCCTCCTCATCCCGAGCCAGCCAGCGGTTACAAGGGAAAGTAAATGTTTGCACCACTTCCTGGAGCTGCTCAATTATCTCCACCTCCTCTTCTTCTTTCTTTTTCTTTTTCTTGTCCTTCTTCTTGTCTTTCTTTGTTGTCTCCTCTTTTTTCACCTCAATTTGCACCATTGCCATCGTCAGTCTTTTGATGTCCACCAGCTCCAGGAACCATCCATCTCCAATGCCCTTTCCATCGTGGAAGACTCTTATCTTATAGATTTTCCCTACATCCAGAGCTTCAATCTGCATTTAACGGGAAAGGGTAGTGTTTAATGTAGATGCATCAGTCTAATAAGAGAGTGATTTATGGGTGCATATTTGGCAACATATTGATATATTCTGGTCCTCACTTCCTACTATGCTAACGGTTAGGTTTATGATTAATGTATAAATTGAATTTAAGTTAAAGCTAAGGTTAGTTATTCAGGTTGAGTGTTGTTGTGAGGTTTACGGAATAGAAAGGGTTGAAAATGACTGAAAAACCATGGGAGTCAAGACATGGTTCTCACTACATTAAGCAAGACGGAATGGGTGTGTGTGTGTTCTTGTTTATGTTATCTATTTAAGATTGTTTTTTGGTATATTTACCAACTTTCTGAGGACCAACAGGCCTTGTGGGGACCAAAGGCCCTTGTGGGGACCTAAAATGGTGGACCCCCATTTTTAATGTTAGGGAGTCAGTGTAGATGTATGGTGTGAATTACCTTTAGGTTAAAATTAGAGTTATATTGGTAGTAGTTATGGTTAGAATAAATGTCAGGGTTAGCAAAAAGGCATTAATAAACTGAATGTTAGTCAATGTAAAGCCTTAAGGATGGAAATACAAACTTTACCATTTTTCTGCAGCCTTGTAAAGACAATTTCCCAGAAATATACTACATTGTGGGGACTTATAGTTACTTGTGGGGATCAACAACTGGTCCCCATGAGCGAAGGTTTTCTTCCTGGGGTGGAGGTTAACAAACGTGTGTGTATGCAAGTGTGTTTTCATGTATGTGTAAGAAACAACATAAATAAAAAAAAAATAGAATAAAAATCTGAGCAGTTTGTCTTTCTTATAGATTCACATTTTGTTGTGAAATTGTAGCTGTCTGATTGCATCCTATAGACTATAAAGAATTTGTCCCTTCTTCCATGTAAAATAGCTTTAGCTCAGTCATATTGAATAAAAAGTGTCTGGGAACTTCAATATAAAATTCAGTCCATGGAGTGGGTTATTTTATTGCAGCATTAGAATGCATTTGATATGCTTTGATCAAGACATTTATTAAAGCTCTGCCTCTACTTTAAGGGTTTATTTCTTTTTGAAAGAATAAAACACAGGTTCACAGGTTTTATTTTATGTAGGTTGCATATTTATACTGCAACTAAATTAGACACAAGTGGACAACCATTTACTATTTACCTTGCACTTCATAATTATGTGCTAAATCTATGTGGTTGTATCGGGGAAAAGCTCCAAAAGCTCAAGGGGAATTAATATTTTTTCAAGGCACTGTAGATATTATTGTATTTCTGAGCTTAAAACTTCCTGGGGCTCTGAGGGGTGCTCGGAGTGGGGTGCCTGGTGGGTCTGACCCCGGGTCTGTTGCCCCCATCGCGGTGGGGCATGGGATGCCTCGGGGTGGCCTACAGCGGCCGCTTGCGGTGCTCTTGGGGGTTTCCGTAGCAATAGATGTGGGTTACTGGCCTGGTAGCTGTGCTGCCACTGGGTGGGTCTGGGGTTCTTGGGTCCCTGGGGTGTGTTGCCCTCAGGCGGGTGCCCCGGTGGGGCGTCGGGGGTTCGGGTTCTGTGGGGTATGCTGCTTGGGGTCTGGGCCGTGTACACCCGGTTGACTGGCCCAGATGCTTTACCCTTCAGGGGTTTGCACTCTGCTAGTGGGGGAAGGGAAGGTAGGGGGAGTGGGAATGATCCCAGCCTGGATGTCTATGGTCGTATGTGTGGTGAGGGGTTTGAATTTTAATGTTGGGGAGGGATTACATTTCCTGTGGGTGGGGGGTTGTGGGTGGTGGGTGGATGGTGAGGCTTTGTGTCTGGCTCCCTGTCTTGGTCCTGGTCCATCATCACCTGGTGCGGGCATTGTCCAGGGCGGGGGTTCTGCATGGTACATTCGGGCTGGCGAATGGAGGAGTCCCACTTTCACCTACAGCATTTTCAAAACACACATCTATATAGGGGATTGTCTGGGGTTGGGGGACACCGGAGGGGGGTCTTATTATGTGGGCTTCAACTTGGATGGCTCCCCCCAGCCCCTCTCGCACTTAGACGTTGGTTTGGTTTGGTTTGTTAATTGGGGGGGGTGCGCTGGCGCCGCCTGTCTTCTGGAGGGGAGGTGGACTGTGCCGGGCACCCCCTTTGGTACTCCCAGTTTTAATTTCGCCTGAGAACAACACGCAACAACACAACATTTGAGCGGGCACAGGGAGAATCTAGGTCTTCTCACACACCTGTTCTCCGGTTGTTGCCCGGAGTATGGGGCCTGGAGGAAGAGCGGGCCGCCTGGTCCGGGGTCTTGGCGGGAAGCTGTTGCGGGGCCTGGCTAGTCTGGGGGCTGTCGTTTCTCCTCTACCCAAAGGGGGGTGGAGGGAGTGGCCAGGTGAAAAATTTTGGGGAGGAGCTCTGGCTGGGTGGCCCGTGTGGATCTGAAGCCGGAACTAGATGGGTTTGTGTGGTGGGAGGCTTTCAGTGGATCCAGCCAGGGCCCCTGGGTTGGCCCCTCTTGGATGCTCTTGGGATCCCTTTGGGCTTCTGGGGCTTTGGGTCCCCCGGTGCTCACCTCTGTGCTCTAGAGGGGTGGGTCTTTGGCTCCTCACAACCACTATTGAGCATTTTTCCTTTGGATATACTTTACATGCACAGGTGCACTCTCACAAACAGCTACAGGTGCTTGGTTCCAGGTAGTTAGATGTTCACTTCCATACAGAAAGCCCATATTCTGATCTTTAGCTACCACAGTATACATGTCATATTAAATAATACTACTTATACTTGAGCGACAGTATCAAGGTGTTACTTTATTGTATCTCTTATACTATATCCGTTGGTTGTGCTGTTCTTTTTACATCTCTGCAGGATGAAGCAGACTGAAGATGTTTTATCGTTATCTCCCTTTTATATCCTCCTTCTCTCATCTTTTCTCCTTTTTTTTCCTATATTTCCTTTCCTGTTCTACTTGCAGTGTCCATAAATCTGTAATACTCCCTGCATGAATTATAATAAAACTATTTACATGCATTAATCAAGCGGAACACCATGGCGATAGCCGTACTGGTCCACTTGTGAAAGCAAAATCTGTTGGGCTCTCTTTTTGGCATGAAGACAATTCTAATTATTGCCATATCGCCAGACAGGACACTGTATAAAAAAAAAACAAAAAAAAACAGACCTTAAAGATTTCAGTGGTGCCACGTTCAAAGTTGTTGGAGCGGCTTTTCAATGCGAGGATTTCGGTTTTTCCTTCTTCTCCGTATATCTGACAAAAGACGTTGGCATTGGTTCCGGCTGAACGCACATCACCAGTGACCACTGTTATTTCGTAGTTGATTACTATTAAAGAAAAACAGGAAGTTCACTCTGAGAAGTGAAAAAAATATCTTTGTATATAAGAGGGACAAATCAATTAATTTTAATTTACATTTTTCAATTTCCAAGACCTCACTAGGGTAAATTTCAACCTCTACTTTTCCATCTGCCTCATCTTTGCAAAGCCAGCGGTGGCTTGGGAACATGTATTGCATCCCATGTACCGGCACAGAAATCTGCACACTGTCGAGAAACCATCCAGCTCGTAATCCTTCATTTGTGTGACCAATCAGAAGACGGTTAATCTACAAGTACAGAGCCCATTAAATGAATACAGACATGAAACAAAGACAGCAGTGGTAATCATAATTATATCTGAGATATAAAGAACTTGCCTTTCCAATGTCGTAAGTGTCAAGGGTGAAAATGTCAGTTCGTGCCGTCTCAAAGTAGTTCCTGAGGTCATTGTCGGAGACGGCCAGGATCACTTTTTCAGTGTCACCTTTCTCCCCATACAGCTTCACGAACACTCTGGAGTCAGAACTGGCACCGCTGACACTGCCCGTCTTGATTGCAATGTGGTAGCTGACATCTGTAAACATAACAATTGATTTTCATTCCAATTTATACACACAAGTAAAATTACAATCTTTTTTAACTTAATGTGGTCATAAAAAATGCGTTTCGAACTTACTAAAAAGACGCACCCCATCTCCAGCTGGAACCAACTCACGGACTATTTGTCCATCATCCTCATTGCGATCTAGCCATCTAAACCAAAAGAAAAACCAACAAGTTAACATTTTTATATATATTAAAGCAATATATTGTTTCTAATAAAATGTTTTTATGAGAGTAACTTTATTCAAATCTCTTGATTGAAGCACAATCAATACAATGGACATAGACAAAACAAGACAATTTACAATAGATAGGATGGAGCTTTAAATTGCTAAAATATATATTGTATACATTTCATATGTTTGTGCAACAGAAATTAAGTTTAATAAATATTAACATAAGCAGTTTCATTTACTTTTTGAGAAAAATATTAAGGTGTATAATGACCAAGTATCTAAAGCAGCAAAATAATTAATACATATGCAAAATAAATGAACTTGAGTGGATTAAATATATGGCTTTGTGAAATAAATTCTGAAAGAATCCTGCACATGCCTCTTTTATTTGTTATATTTTAAATCCCTCAGACCTTCCCAGCTAATGAACAAGCCAGACAAGCAGGAAGTACCTTTTTTCTGGAAGTAACACTGCACCCACCCTTGCGGTTGGAGTCTAGTTACAGAATGAGAGAGCTTGTTGGCTGCATGCGTTTAGTCTCCATTTGTAATGGCAAAACCATCCAGCTCTTACTTAACCACTTTAACAAATGTCACTGGAAACCTAGTAACCCCAATCATGGCCAATTTGCATCGGTAATAAGTCTTCTGAAAATGCCGAAGGGATTTCAGACATCAGACATCTTGTTAAGTGGGCTTCAGACAAGATAATTATTATTAATTTTTTTTTTTTTTTTAACAAGCCACTATCTGACATTAAGCTTTTATTGCAATTTCAGTTTTGCATTGAATAGAAAGCTTTAAAAAAAAAAAAGCAAAGACTTGCCACTTTTTTTCTTTAAGTCCAAAATAAATATATATATGTATATTATCTACTGTAGATTAAGACAAGTCTTTAAGGTCCTAAAGCAACCCCAAACCATTACACTACAATACAATATTGTATGCTGATAGATTTAAACTAAAGGTAACATGACTCAGTAGTCCACAGAGTATATTACCTCAGACCTCTTGGATCATTAAGGTGTTGTTTGGAACATGAACATCAGCAGGTGCTTTTGCTTTAAAACTCTACCATGGATGCATTTTTCCCTTAGTTTCTTATTTTTGAATTGGGAAAATCCATACAGGATCGGCACACAGATTTTCACATGCAGAATACAATTACAGTCGTAGATGGTATAGAGAAGCCTGCAGCTCTTAGAGTTTATTCTGGGTTTTCTTGTGACCTCCTGGATTAGTTTCGGTTTTGGATATAGCTCTGTATCAGTTATAATGTAGCTAAATACGTTATTTTATTGTCAATCAACTTGCCTAAAACATGGAAACTCTGTGGCAGAAGACTCAGGTTGTCCTTCTTCTCTGACCAACACCTTATCAAGATACCAACCACAGCCTCCACCACGGCCATCATGACCAACTCGGACTCTCCGCACCTGACCCAGGAAGACTGACTCTATAAGAAACTCATCATGCTGTGGGGAAATAAGGGAGAAACCCGACACTGTAAGTACATTTCCTTAAGAGAATGTTTATATTTTTATGTGATGATGTTCAGTAATATACTCACATTTCCCTTTTCAAACTTGTTGACATTGTTTTTACTCATAAACATAAGACGCTCCCCCGTATCCCCCAGGTCCCCAATGATACTGAGGAATACGCTGGCATCAGTGCCACTACCACTGACGTTACCAGTGCAGATTGTGACCCGATATTTTATCACTGAAAAACATTAGGATGGGAGCTACTGTTGCACAAGGAACTTTTTGACCCTTTTGACCCTTGTTAAAGATACTAAACTCTGTAAACTCTAGAAATTGGGAAATATCCTGGTTTCTTACAGGGCAGAGGCTCTTCAATGAGTGCTCCTGTGGCTGGTAGCTCTCGGACAATCTCATTGTCATCTTCATTGATGTCCAGCCAGCGTCCACATTCAAAAGAATATTTGTCCATCGTTAGAGTCTTGAGCAAAGTGACCTGCAGAAAGGGAATGTCTCATCATCATCATCTTTAACTGCACTCTGGTTGGTAAAATTTTCTTCGTGCACAATACGACAATGATAAATTTCAGTGACAAAATCAACTAGAACAAAGCATGAAATCAGAAGAAGAATTTGATTGATCTTTAAGTCTACAACAAAGGTCTGTTTCACATAGAATCCAAACAAAATTTTGAGTTTTTCCTACAAAAACATTTTGAAAATTCAAGATGTATACTAAAAATTTCAGTATACACCTTGAAATTTGAAAATTTTCCAGGAAAAAGAAATGCACAATATACAGAAAATTCACCCTTGAATCAAAGACCAGATGCTAATGAATAAGAAGAGTGTATATTTTTCTTCCCTTTTTTGTTTTTATAAATATTCACCAATTAAACCCCAAAACTCTTGATCCTTTTGTATTTCTCTTTTAAAATCTATCAAAGTATGATGATAGTTAATAAATCCTTTTGATTTAAGGGAAACTTGTACTAAAATATTTTAAAACCTCTTGTCTAACCTTAGTCAAAGGCAACCATGAAAATAAGGATTGAATTATGATATCAAACCAGACAAAAAGAGATGGGGCTTACCTTTGCTAAATGCCAGCCAGCAAATGGATTTCTCTTCTCATGCCAGATCCGTACTTTTAGCAATCTTCCAATGTCCGGCATTTCAATCTACAGTGATTCCGAAAACATAAGTGATAAATAAAATCATTAAAAAAGATGTCCTTGGAACATGGATTCAATTTGACAGATAAACCAGTTAAAAATCGGATAATCTCAGACTTACCATGAATTTATCAACTTGACCTTGTTCAAAACTGTCTGAATTGTTTTCAAGTTTGATCTCATCTGACTTTCCCTTCTCTCCATAGATCTGGAGAAACACCTGGGCATCTGTGCCAGCACCTTTTATGTCTGAGGTCCAAATCCACAATGACCATGGGTACTCTGGAGTGAAAAAATAATGCCATGCCTACACATAATAATCTGCTGAACTGAATTTAAGCATAAATTGCTGTTCTTTCACTGAGTACCCACTTTTCTGTTTTTTCTGCCTAAGAGAGACCATCTCATAGAGCTCCCTCTCAATAAGCCCATCCGCCTCATCCTCATCCAGCCACATCCCACATGGAAATGTTTGCTCAATGCCTGTGAACGGACAGTATATCACCACCTGGAAGTAAATGACATCTTAATCAATCATCCACATTAACAGAATCTCTCTGTTACCAACTAGAAATGTGTATGACCTTTTCACAGTACCACCCAGCACCTACAGCACCGTTATCGTGACCAATGGTGATCCTGCTCAGCGGGCTGATCAGTTCACAGATCTCTACATTGAAAATGTCAATGAGAGCTCTTTCAAAAGCACCCCCCTCTAGAAAGATTTTGCCACTGTTTTTTAAGCCCTTGGCACCATGCATGACCATGTGGATCTTAGAGTTGGTTCCTGCTCCCCTTATATCTCCAGTCATTACTTGGACATTGTATATAATTCCTAAGTAGATAGAGAAAAGGTATTTAGCTGTATATTACTAACATAAAACTTGTGTTTATTCATAGAAATGCATTCTCTTAATGTCTTAAACTTGGTTCATTTGAAATTTAATGATCAGCCAAATCCTTAAAGTACTAGCCTGGCCAGCCACACTGAATCACACGGGATGCAGTCTGGTAAATCCCCATTTACTCCTCCATGAGCTGGCTGGATCACGTGGGAGGCAGGACTTAATGATGTTTGACGGCAACAGAGCAATGTTGCAATGGAAATTAAGAACATACTAGAGAGAACACCTTATATCTTCAAAATTTTTGTGTCACATCAATAAATATCTGATTGGTTGTCACCTGTTGACGTTTACCATGTTAGTCCCATCTATGAAATCGAGCTCTACCAGTTCTTTACTAGACTGTTATGCCGTGCATACATGGTATCAGTCTGGTTGGCCAGGCTATTAAAGTACAGCAAGCAGAAGGTAATAGCATGTATTCCCACACCCATTGGTTGCATTGATCCAACTAAAACATCTCTCTGTATTTTGCCATCATCTTCATCCATGGCAAACCAGCGGTTCACAGGAAACTCGTACACTTCTTTATTGCCCATATCATCTATCACCACCTGTAAAGTAGTAGACAGTAAACATATTTAGCAGTTTTTTCCTTTGACACCATCCATGACTGTGATCTACATGCCTTGTCTAGAAACCATCCAGCTGAGGAACCTCGGTTGTTGTGACCAATGGTGATTTTTCTTAGCCTTCCTAGGTTAGGAGTCTCTATTGTAAACTTGTCCTCTGAACCACGTTCAAAGTTGTCTTTGTCACTATCCAGTCGTCTTTCCCCTTTCATATTTAAAACAGATAGGTAAGAATGATAGAGTGAACTACAAAAAACACAGAGCTTTAATTCTTGAGGATAGTCTTTAGTAGAAAATGTATCATTAGCTATTGTTTTGATCAAAAAGAATTTCATCATAAACATTATGTTGAATTGCCGTATAAATAATTTAACTAGAGAGTTGAAGTACCCAGAAACAATGGTTCATCTGGATGTTATGTTGTAAAATTGGACAGAGGTATGCATATAAATAAGTTGGTTTGCAAGGAGCTTTCCTTGCTGGAACAAACAACAGAACTGGCAGCATAAAAAGAAGAGCGGTAGCCCTAGCCGGCAGTTTCTAAGCATACCTTGTAGATGCATTGGATAGCATTACCAGGACTAAACCAAATGTTTAGTGGGGGAAATAATGTGGGTTTGCATTGGGGTTGTTGTTTGGCACATGGATTGTACAGATGTATAATTGGCCCAATGTTTTTGAGGGCATTCAGAGATGTACAGCTAGCCATATTCTATCATCCTTTCTCAATCAAACATTTGTGGCATTAGCTCACAAATAAATTCTGTTCCATATCCTATCTGTAGGGTCTTGAGGAAATGTTACTGTACACAACCTGTGGGCCAAATCACCCATATAGACTCCATATTACACCAAACTACTGCTTCTATCTCAGCCAGAAGGGAAGCCACATTAATTCTCACTTTTCTTTTATTTCTTCCATTTTACCTTGGTGTTTACATTTTGTTGTCAAAGAGTCAAGTTGAAAACTAAGCCTTAACTGTTTTACATTTTTATAAATAACATTACCTGTGTCACCATATTCTCCAAAGATATTAAGGAAGACATCAGCATCTGTCCCGCTTCCCTTCATATCAGCAGTAAAAACACTCACCAAATATTTATTCACTGGAAGACAGATAACACATAACACTGATTATTAAAAATCACTAAAGAAAATGAGAAACATATTTAGATGAATTTCTCTATTATCTTTCTGAAGGTTTCTTGAAAATCACAATTAAGATGGCTTTCAGGTTAAAAATTAATTACTCTTGGTGTCTATTTGACAAACAGCTGCGTTGCCCCGACTATCCCTTATGCCCCAGTCTCTTTACAAAGCTGGACTTGATTGTCATCAGGTGCTAAGATGTGAGATCACATTACAGGAGAGGTCACAAGGGCCGTTTTTATCCGAGGATTACACTCGCATGGCATTCAGTTACAGTACAACCTGAAACTATAGGAAGGCCTGCAGACTATCAGGCACCGTAGTGTTTAGCTTGTGAGATGTGTGTTATGCACAGTCAGTTTTCATTGAGGTTGGTTCATTTTTACAAATATAATGCTTTATTTATGTTGGCTTGGGTTTACATTTACACTTCACCATTAAAATCAATAAATTTAAAGTCTTACTGAAATCCAAACAATACATTTTCAATTGTAATCACTTGCTTTGTGGTTTTCAGCTTTCTGTATTTTTATAATAGATGTTTGTGACCTACATTTTGGGACATCCATAGGGTTTAGGCTTCCAAGTAGATCCCTGACAAACAGGTTGTCACCCTCTTCCCGGCTCAGCCAGTTGTTGCAGGGGAAATAGAAGCGCAGATGGGGCCGGATCATGTCAGTTACCACCACCCTGTCCAAGAACCAGCTGGCGCTCATTCCTGTGTTGTCATGTTCAATTCTAGGGAAATCAAAGGTCAATTTCAAATTGCTTGGTCTTTGCAAGAGCTCTCTAGTAATCTTGCCATTCAGGATTAATGTCAATAGTTATATACTAAACAAGTCCATTGTTTTCAGACATTACAGCTCAGACAATACAGATATGTCACACAGACTATGTGATATGAGGTTAAGCATGGGTAATGCTCACAGTGCATGAGTAGCTGTGAAGTGCATTGTAGCAGAAAGGTTTCAAGAGGCTTCTACAAACTACAGGCTAAACCAAGAAAATTAGCTTTTGCTTCGCTGGGATTTTATCAAATAGGTCAACACAAAGCAGCACACTGTCTAGAAACAAAGTAAAAGGAACATTCTAGATGTTTTTGTTTCTTTTTAGGGTACCTTTGTCCATCCTACTGCACTCCAAAATAAAACAGAAGGGAATCAATAGTTATAAATTAAGCTTACATTATCTAACAGAGAAGAGCAGTGATCCAGTCCTATTTTTATGAAAATGGAAACACCATTCCAAAACAGCAGACCAACCAGTATATGATAATGTGAGCATTAGAGAAGCGGGCAAAGAAGCCCATGTTAACTATGAAGGAGTTGCAGAGATACACAGTTCAGTTAGGGGAAAGTTTACAGGGCAACAATTAGTTGTGCTCTTCATCTATCTGGCCTTTCTGTAATATTAGTAAGAGAAAAGTGGCCATTGTAAGAGAACTCTAGAAAGTTTAACTTTGTGATTTGCTACAAGCCATGTGGGGAATAAAGCAAACATACATACATTGGTCAAGAAAGAGTACATCAGGCAGAATACTATGTATTTTAGGAAACAAACTCTCCAAATTGTCCTGAACATGAAGCATGTTGATGGCAGCATTATGCTAAGGGGAAGCTTTTCTTTTTTTTTTTTTGGAGTCACTAAAAATACAAAAAATACGAGTTAGTCTTGGAAGACTTGAGACTGAAACAAAAGTTAACACATCAGTAGGGCAGTTACCCTAAAAATAATTGTTTAGGTCAAAGCATATGTTTAGGTCAAAGCATATTTTACATAGGCCAAATCAAAAATGCAGTGATAAATTCAGTTGCAGTTTTTTACCAGACTTTAATTATTGCTGATAAAAGATGATCTCCACCTAATACTTTGATTTGAGCTTGAGTTTTTTTAATGAAAAACGAAGTGGCAAAATGTCTTGGATGAGCATAGCTGGAAAAGAAGTTCTTAAACTGAGCCTGTATGAGTAACTCTAGAAAAAGGTAAATCTATGTACATTTTTTATTAATATTGGCCAAGGGGGGTAAATACCACTGTATTCCAGTCTTTAAAGATTTTCAATTATAAAACATTTGACAACCATGTAAATCCTTCTCCCTTTTTTTGTTTGTGCTCTATTTTCTTTTGGTTCATTGCATAACAATCCGAATAAGAACACTGTATTAAATGACTCAATCATTCATGTGTGCTGGCTATGATGCACTGCAGATCTGCTTCCTTTTGAGTAGCTCATAACAACAGATGGAGTTCAACCTTTTTGTCACTCGACAAAATCCCTTTATGTCCAACAGATCAACACACTATTATCTTTTCTCTGACCTACTTCTTGTGAGCTATAACTGTAAATCTCATTACACATTTGAATTAATGATGGAAATTATTAAATTACTCTGCAGTGCATTGATGTATCGACGGTTATATTAGTTCCCAATTTTATATCATACAGTACCTTAGCTTTTTGATTGGCCCAACGTTTTGTGTTTTGATGCGAAAAACATCTGTCTTATTCTTCTCAAATGCATTCCGGCTTCTGTAAAACAAGAAAGTATGAGAAAGAATTAGAATTCATGGAAATTTAGATTGAACAACTTCAACTATGTAATCCAGTGGGATTAAAACAGAAAGATAAAGGAGATGATCTCTGAATCTGTAAATGGCCTCACCCTGACTGATCCAGCTTAACGGACCCTTATGTGCTGATTGCAGCGCTATAATCTGCATTCGAACTCAGGCTCTGCCACTTTATCACTCTCTCCTACTTTATCACACACCATACTTTTGCTCCCCAGATAAAGGAAACAAGCAATGAAATAATCCTCTGACTAGGACTGCACATCAAATAAATTCTTATATCTTACAGTAGGAGTCCTTGACTGAGAAAATAACCTTTTCTTTATGCTTTTAACATTACATTAATAAAGCTATGGATTATATAGTGAAGGTTTATATTCTGGTACATCAAATAAATAAACATGAAAAAGTTAATACAAGACCTTATTCTCCACATTTAGCTGCTTACAGATGATGAGAAACAGAAACAGTGCAAACTTTGGAATTCATGCAATTTAGTTATACTGTAATCGCACTGAATTTCCAAATAATTGCATTCTTAAGCCACCTCGGAGGCTTGGAATAATAAGCATCCCCCTTACCTGTATTGTGCTGTGAAGTTTGAATCTATAATGGCACAATACAGGCAGGACCTGCCACATATCGGAGTAAGGTGAAACTCCTAAATATGCAATCATTTTATCATACCAATACCAAAAGAAACAATGGAGTCTATGTGTGCTGTTTTATCAGATAAGACATCCAGAAGTCACTCAGAAAGGACATTCTGGATACAAGACATGTTGATTGGTACTGAATGAATGAATTAGGTCACCTCAAGGTGTCGGTGACATGCTCCAGAGTGGTTCACAATAAGTTGTGTATCCTATACTCTGCAAAGGTAACTCTGTCTGTCAGTCAGCATGGGTGAAGATAAAGGAAGCCTACTGCTGATAAGATCCCTGAGAGTAATTTGAGAGTAATCTGTATAAATGACATCGTGGTCTTCTTTCATTCTTTTCTGAATGGAAAAAAAGACCGGCCATGCCACATAGTTCCTCCTTACTCCAGATATTCTGAGTCCAATATTTTTTATAACATCTGTATGAAGGAGAGATTCCAGTTTCTAAAAGACTTTAATCTCTATTTCATTTAAAACACTTTGAGAGCGTGTAGAGTTATAAGTGTACTGTTGATTAGGAATTCTCTCCTATACAGCATCATATCCACAATAAAAGCCAGTACAGATACAGAATGATAGCCATCCTTTTATTGCCAAATACCTCTTTTCTGTGCTGAGGAATTAGAGAAAAACAGAAAACATACACAGTTAATGTCTCATTTTGAAAATATGCTACTTCTAAACATCACGGATTATGTAAATTAAATAACAAAATTTCTAACAATAATATTAAAGATAGTTCTAATGATGACATAAGCTGACATTTTTGCTGTAAACCTGCTTTTTGCAGTATTTTACCACTTAAATTCTACACAATGTTGTACTTACTTGCTTGCCAAGTGAACCTTGGGGGAGACGCCAAATTCTCCAAAGAGGGTAACAAAAACATTGGCGTCAGTCCCAGCTCCCTTTACATCACCCGTGACTGTAACCACCTCATAAACTGAAAGAAAGAGAAAACTGCCAATTAAAAAAAGGACTTACAATTAGAGATTTTCTTCAGCATCCATTAGACACTGATTAAAGGCTAAAAACCACTTTAGCTGACACCTTTTGATATGGAGGAGTAGTATTAAATTCAGTTAATCAGTAGATCACTGATTTCAAATCAATATCCTAAAACACTTAGCAGGACAATGATTGTCAATCTAGATATGTCTGATTTTTCTATCTATATAACGGGGTTCTTAACCTATTAAATCCTGAGCCAGCGACTTCATAAAGGAGTTTAATTTCACCTGCTTTATCTAAGATCTTCCTCTTCATTATTCACATCTCAAGGCTATTGGTTAGAATCAGAATTTAGGAGAACCGGCAAATGTTTGGCATTTGGTTTTGACATGACACGTTTGAGTAGCACCTGCATGGCCACAGATGAGGCTCCAGTCCATCCTCACATGACTTAAAAAAGAGGACACCACCAACTTGGAGTTTATGTTTGAGGTAGAGAAAAATCCCCTATTTTGAGGGATAATCATTTCCTATTGCCAGTTTAGAACAAGCTAGTTAGACATGAACACGACTCTCTTTACTGTAACCCCCCCACTCTTGGTCATGCCTTGAAGACTCTAACACAGCCACATGGCACATCTATGCCTTGCCATTCTGTCCATTTCACAAACAAGATTTAAAAAAAAAGACAGCCTTCATGGGGTTAAACCAACCATGGGAACACATCTCTCTCAGAATGAACCTCAAAAACAACCATAGTGACTCTTGTATAACCACATACAGATTCACCAATCTGCTATCATTTCCTCTGCCATAAACCAATATTAAAGACAATCTCATTTTTAAAGGTCACATGTGCAAAACAACAGGGCCTGCAAATGCATAGGAATTTTCTATTTCTGTTATAAAAAAGAAGCAAAGTTTACAAACTAACTGGGACCACACGTGAGAAAAGCAAATGTGAATGAAAATGTTTTGAATGTTGTTCTTTTAAAACTTAACAGTTCCAGGGATCTTTCTAAAATTCATTTAAAAAGTTTCAGAGGTTAAAAACAAAAACAAAAGAAGCTGTGCCTGTGAAATATCATGGTTTAACATAAAATATAAAACTCCAAACTTTATACTTTTTTCAAACAAAAAATATTTTATTCTAGAAATTAGAATTGGTTATCCATCTTTCTTTTTAATGAAAATAACCGTGCCAATAACTTTGAAAGTAAGCTTTTCTTCGAATTACATTTTGTAAAGGTAAACATTATTTACAAGAACAAAACAGGGTTAAAAAAACAGGCTTAAAATACTTAATTTATTTTTTTTTTTGAAATTTTCCAAAACTTTCAAAATGTACTGTTCAGAACGATGCCAGATGCCAGAATTTGTTGGTTCAAGTAACCTTTGGTGCTTTGATGCTTGTTGAAGTAAACAAGCATCTTTTTTTAAGGAGCTGAAAAAGGAAAAAGAAAAATGTCATGGCTGGCTAAATTTGGACAACAGAGATTAAGCCAAGGCAAAAGTTCACATGAATAAACTTATTACTTACCTTCATCCGCCTCCGACACAATCTAATCAGCTTTGAACCACACCTCCACGAAAGCCCAATCAGCAGCCAGAATTCATCTTAAAAGTTCTCAAAATCCACAACTCAGTCTGCAACCCAAAGCGCAGGCAGTGGTTGCTCTATGTCTGACTTCAATTCAGATGACCTCGATTCAACCCACCTCCATCCCCTTCTCCATCATCGTAGCTAAAGCTTCATCAGAGTACCATTTCTCCCGGACTCTTACTCCGTTCCCTGTCTCATCTCAACCAGTTGAATGATGAGCCTGGTTCTGCCACAGGTTTCTTCCCAATGGGGAGTTTTTCCTCTCCACTGTTGCTTCATGCATGCTCATCCCCGGAGTGAAGCACTAGTATCAGCTCACGCAGACCATTGGATCTCTTCATACAGCTCGAGCACACCGTCTCTCCAACCAGCAGTCTATGGACTGACCAACTTCATCTATCTCCACTCCACTACCAGTTTCAGGCCTGAGGGGAAACATCCCTGATCTTTACTCCTGTTCATGCAAGTCAAAACAAGATTCAGGGCTAATGTTTCCTGCCGAGGTCTGAGCGCCAAAAACTAAAGTAATTGTATCAATAAAATTCATCTTATTGTCTTTTTCTTTCCACGTGAGTTTTTCAGTTTTTCAAGAACCGGGAATTCTAATTACCAGCAATTCAAGCTATTAAGATTTGATTAAAAGGAAAGGGAGACCTTATAAAATCAGATAGACAGTGGCCTGGTAAAACTGGCCTTGTAAATTCCTCAAGATGTAAGTGACCGTGGTTAGCGAGTCAGATAACAAAGATACACACAGCTTGGCATTCTCTACCCTAAGATAAAAACTGGCTTTAAAACAAAGTTAAGTTACAGGGATTAAGTAATGTCCAAGATGCCTCAGATGTTTTACCTTTCTTGTCATCACTATTCTAATTTTTTTTGTCTTTGCTTTTCTCTCATGGCACCATTATTTTGAAGTTCAGATGGTTTGGGTTTTTTTCTGTGCTGGATGTAATAGAAATACAAGTTTGTAGTACTTTAAGATAGGTTCATATTAAGGCTTTTAGACATCATTCCCAGGGGTAAAAATGATGAGGAAATAATTATTAAATAATTATTATGAAATAATCTTTTGAAATAAAAAAGTATATGGTGTTGTATTAGACTGTGTTTAAATTTGTCTATAGCCGAAAGGATATGTCCAGAATGTATGCACCCCACTGCACAAAACCATAAACCTTCCCTCTGAATATTCTCTTGATTCTGTTGCCCCAGTGGCTCTCCCAGTCCCTCAGACTGGGACGGCACCCAGCACCTGTCTGCCCTCAGGCCTCTGTTTGGCTCCATTCATGTGGAACATAACCGAGCTTTCATCCAGGACAATCACAGAGGGGTTCCCCCTGATTGCTCCTGGTTGGAGCTCAAGGTAGCTGGCAAGAATCTGGTTTTTAACTCAGTCCTGTATGAGCCGGGTGAGATTTGTTCACCTCGAAATAAAGCATGTCATTTTTCTCTTGTCAGACTTCAGTGTGTGACACTTACCTTTCTTTTTGTAGTACTCATCTTCATATCCATCTGAAGAGTCTGTGTGGTAGTTAAGCAGCTCATTCTGGTAGATTGCAGCATAGTCTACTTGTTTGTTTTTAGATTTTTTCCCTTTTTTCTTTTTTTCATCATCACTGTCTCCAGAATTCTTCTTTTTTTTCTTTTTCTTTTTCCTTGATTCCTCCTCCTCCTCTTCTTCCTGCTCATCAATCAAGGGCTCCTCAGCATCATCTCTATGAGACTTCTTTTTCTTCTTTTTACCATCTTTGGACTTTTTATCTTTAGACCCCATCTCTTCCTCTTCCTCTGCCCTCTCTATTGACAATTTCTTTTTTTGCTTTTTTTTCCCGTCGGTCACTTCCTCTTTAAGCCTCTCAGGTTTATCCTTTTTGGGTTTGGTCGTCGATTCATTGTTGTTCTGCTCTCCTTCAGTGTCTTTATTTGAAACTGTAGCATCAGTATCATTATTTGTCTTCTTTTTCTTCTTTTTCACCTTATCTTCTTCTTTTTCCTTCTTCTCTTTCTCTGGCAGCTCCTGTATCTCGGAGTCTTCTGTGCTCTTGTGTTTCCTCCGACTCTTACCTCTTTTTGTGGTTTCCCCATGGGTCAAACCGTGGCCACTCTCCTTTGAATTTGGCTCACTTTCCTCCACTTCGTCATCAACCTCTTCGGTTTCCTCTGAAGCTGTGGATTTTTTCTGTTTCGACGGCATCTTTTATTTATCCACTTCCCTGGCCTTTAGTTTCATAAGAGCTGCCTTGAGTTTCTAATGGTGTAAGACAATTCATTTGACCCTTGGCTTCAGACAGATTCTGAGACTTTGAAACCTGTGGGATCCCAAGCTTGTAAACCTGCAGATATATTGACTCCAGACACTGATGCAGGGGAATCTCTACCTGATGGTGTGCAACCTGGGTGGTATATGAACATACAGCCTACAAACACCACTCATGAAAAATTACTGGCACCTCCGTGGTCACGTGATTCACAGGGAGAAAGCCCTGTGAAAAAGGAGCCTTGTCCAAAGAACTTATCCTCTGCCATGGCAGCTTCCATTATTTATGGTGTCAGGATCGCTTTACGGGCCGAGTGCATCTCGCTTTTGGCTGCAGACACACATACAAATGCATATGCACTCTTTTGAACCGACTTATCTTTGTTAATGTATAGCGTGTAAGAGAAGCTAAATTCAGGTGGAAAAAAATTTGTCCCAGGTCTAGTTTTAAAGAATATGTATGACCAAGCAAATAAAATTTAATATTTCAGATTAATGGCATAATCTCTAGGGCTGCATGGCGGTCTGATCTCAATTGGACCTCTGTTCATGTCTGTGTATCTCTAATTTTTTTCTGAAAAATGTAAATTAAAAAGAAAGAAATAGTTTCTAAATTTTTATGTTTGCCTTGTTAATCATTGAACTGAAATAATATCCGTGATTCAAAGCTAAGATGATTTAAATTTTATACAGATTTTACAAAAAAATATTACCAGTTTATATAGACAAAAGTGAAATAAGAGATTGTATTTTATCTTTAAAAAATAAACTAGATTTGCATATTTTTTCAATATTTTAGAGAGGTAAAAAACTGCCCTATTTATATCTTATATGCACTGCTATCCTGGCAACCACATGTCCCCCTGACAATGAGCCATATCATCCCATTAGTCTTATTGCTGCTATCTGACACTTGGTGAACTGTTGCATCAAGGGGAAGGGCAGACCTTGGTCATATTGATCTTTCAACATCAAATTACCACACCAAATGGATGATAGGAGACCTTGTTTGCCTCAGTGAAGAATATGCAAATAGACAAATTGCTCTTTCATCCTATCAAAGATTAAAATCATGGTGTAGGTAAACTAAGGTCAGAATTTAGTAGGATAATATAAAACCATTTAGACCCAAGATGTTCCTTTTAAAAATGTGTAACACATACACCTAATATTACCTTTTAGTGCAACAGTAAAAACAGTATTTTTTTTTTTTTTTTTTGGCCGTATAGTTACTATCAAGAATATAAATGTGAATTTTTTACTTTGATTTTATTTACCTTCATTTCGTATTTCACAACACAGTGGCAAACAATAGCGATTGGATTTTCCCTGAGCCACAAAGCTAGTAGGTCATCTTCACACGTGTAATTTTAATTCAATATATTTAAAAAAGTATGTAAAACTGAATTTTTTCTTTACTGTATTTAAAAAAAAAACTGAATTTGTTGTAAAACTCCTCAAATGTGCCCATATATTATTAGCCAAGTTATCTCTAAAATAAGGCTATTCACCTTTTTTATATTTTTCATAAAACTTCAGTTAAATTTAGTTTCATTTTTTCCTCATCTTAAAGTATTAAATGTTGCAAGTAAAGTGTCTTGCAAAAGTATTCTTTCTTTTACTAACATTTTAAAAATATATATGTATTTTTTTACTACTACACTACACTAAGAAATACACGAGAAGAACATAGGCTGGATTTTAAAGTTGGACTTCTGCAACATCTGTTAAACAGCTGTCCACTTGGGAATATAGTAATCAGCAGAGTTGTCCATCACCAAAGAAAATAAATTGTCTCTGTTGCTTCTAGTGTTTAACAAAAAGAGTGGATCTGGCTATGGGTGATTGTTTACTGTATAAATAACCATAGACTGCCAAAGTTAAACATATCTGTATCTTTATTGTCTAATCATCCCTATTACACAGTTGTTATATCTAATAAATTTGCAAACACTACACACTACTGAAAATAAGCAGAAGGTAAAGGAAAAGGCTAATATTAAAGGGGGACGAGGGCCCCCTTTGTCCCCCTTTTATTAGCTTTCCAGAATCCGTTCAATGTATTAATGCATTTGAGGCTTCCTTTAAAATAGCAGCAGATAAAATTAATAACAACCAATGCAGAGATCTTAAATGCAATTAAAACAGTAAAGCCTCATTTGGTTTACAGTGAAAAATGAACGATTACTCAAAAATGTATTAAAAGCAGCAGCACTGGAGAAAAATGGGTTAGCTCAGATATCATCAGGAGAGCAGGCTACGATGCGGGTCCGAGCCAGGACAAAGAGTCATAAAACTTTGTCCTAAGATGGCAGCCACCACCTTTATGTGTGGCCAAAAATCAGGTAGCAATGGTTGGCAATCCAACTGTAGCACCCTGACTCTTTAGACACATCAAAAAATAAACAGAGACAAAAACACAGTGCAGATCGTTTCCACGGGGGAGTCGCTCTTGCTTGCATTATTTGACATTTGATATCCCACATGTGTATTCCTCTACCTGAATTTGGAGGGTGTAAAACACATGATATGAAACCATTATTTCTGCTCAAACTCAAACAGTTGTAGTTTTGAGAAAACTGGTTTATTAACAAACACACTCAATATAAAGAATGTTTAAGAGTTAAGAAGCACTGTAAATGCCAACATACAGTACACCTCATTGCATTACACAGACCATGTTTTCATGCTTGAATCAGTCATGATTGTTTTCAAGCAAACTTATTCTGAAGTCCATTTTGGCTTCATTAACTCTTTATTTGTGAGCGTTAATTACTGAAGAAGTCCATTAAAATTATAAAAATGTTTAACTTCAAAGAAAACCAACAGGTTTTCAGCTTAGCTTAAATAATGTGGCAGCAAAACAAAAAATTACAGCTATCTAATCTTCATAAAGTACAAAAAACAGTGTAAAATCGAACAGCAGTAAAATGTGAGTTTTTTTTTACAAATGCAAAGCAAGTCTATACAGTTCAAAAATAAAACAACATCCAAAAAAAAAAAAATTTTTTATTGCAAAGAAAAAAAAAAGGGGCAAATTACTGCGTTATTGATCATATGAGCCAAGAAGGACACATTTGTTTTTACATTATAGCAAGTCTAGAATGTTGTTTAATACAAGAGACAAACTTACATTTCATTCAATGGTAAATTCATTGTACAGGAGGGCACAAGGGTGCATCGCATAATGTCCAGTGGGGTTTGAGATCTCATAAGGCAAAATTGGCTTAAGACAAGATCAACAGCTGGATTGTTTCACAGCAGTCTAGTAAAAGTTCTTGCCCTAAACCAAAACAAACACACAACAGTGTCTCATGATAAATATTGGGGTATTTTTTACAGGGAGAAACAAGGTCAATGAGAACAGGCCTCTTTGAATAGAATGTGAAAATACTTACACTGTCATTCTGCTGAATAGGAAATAGTTTACAAAAGTAGACAAGAAGATGTTACAGTTGTATATTCAGATATTCATTTAATAAAACCAGTGTCCAAGCTTGTTTGACACAAACATTAAGCTGCCACACCCACAGACTGTCCAAGAGAAAGTTAAGAGACGGGGCACAAACAAATCCCCAGTGAGGCCCCATGTAAGCAGAAATACCTGTGTAATCAAGTACAGTGGGGCCACTTTAAAAACATCACAGACAACCATTTTCTGAAGATCAATTTTTAAAATGAAAGACAAGCATCCTATAGATAGAGACGCAGAAATTGCCACAGTGACATGACAGCAGTAAAGGATCTTTGAAAAGAGAAATGTGTCCAAGCAAGCAATCTTCACCATATTGTTGAACTAATTAAAGCAAATGAGTTTGTACTCCCATTGCCAAGTGTACTAGCCTAATGAAGAAAAACAGGTTCATTTAAAAAGCAGAAAAAGGATAGATCATGAGCAGCGCCCCGTATGTACATTGATAATCCCACGGGTGTGCATGTGAATGAAGTTAAATATTTCATGAGGCATAGCGTGGAAGCCAGGCCTGGGCTTTACATTGTCATAGTAATGGTGAGTGATGAAGATTCCTGCAGGGTTCATTGGAAACGCCCAGAAACCGTAGAGGTGGACCTCTTCGCAGAGCTCCAAGGCAGCAGTCACAAGCATTAGGCCGCTGCTAAGGCGTTTTGCTCTGACGCCCTGCACCGCCCAGAAACGCTGTACATTAAGGAGATACTGCGGATGAAAGAAGAACACGCCTCTCTGGGAGTCAAAATCATCCAGCATGTACTTGACTCGAAAAGAAACATCAGTATTGCGGGTGTTGTAAAAGGCAGGTAGCACCACTGATGAGTTCTCATAGTTCTGGAGAACTTCGTAGAATGGACGCCGCCATTTCTCTAGCTTCTGAAATCTGAAGAGAAAAGACAACAAATAAATGAAAAACATAAGGATAAACCAAAAAGTAATGTGTATATGGAAAAGATAAACAATGGACTACAAAAGTTTCAGAGCCTTTGAACTTCTCACATTTGGTTAAGGGGCAAAAACAAACTACAGTGTATTTAATTGGGATTTTATGAGCTTCAACAACACGAGGTAGGAAATAAATTTTATAGTGTGAGCGAAATGCATTTAAATAAAAAACTTATACATTTTAGAATGTATTCAGACCTCCTGAGACAATACAAAACACCCTTTCCTTGTGCTAGCTAAAAAAACAAAAGAAACAAAAATCATCTCCAAAAATGATATACTGTATCATACCTTTAATCACCATTGGGTTCTTGGGCTCACATTGATCTGTCGTTCTAGTATTCAGATTTTTTAAGGTTTTTATGATAGGTAAACAAATCCACTTATGGTATCATCTGATCACAGAACCTGCTTCCACAGGTATGATGTATCTCTTAAATAGCTTGGTGCAAACTGGAAACAAGACTTCTTAGGGCTTCTGTTTCAATTGTTTTTTTTGCTTACTACTTCTCTAAAATAATTTGCATCATGGACTGCAGGAAAAAGAGCTATCCTGTGAACAGATTCTCCCTTACCTGAGCAGATGATCATTGCAATCCTTCTAAAATTACCAGAGGCCATTTGGTTGCCTCTCTGACTAAAGGGGCTTTCAGACTGGATGCGGCAAGTACACAACTTTGCACTAAGATGGCATGCCATAGCCCAAGCGCCCCCCAAGCAAGGTCCGATGACATGGTGTCATGTCTGAAAAGCCTTTAATGCTGTCTTTTTCCAGCAAATGAAGAAAAACAGTTCTCCCAATACTGTTCCATTTATCAGAGGATGATGATGAGTATGTTTAAGAGATTTAATACAATAAAATTAATGGATGAGAGAAAGAAGAAAATTGGATTTACAGGGAAATTAAAGGTATAGTGGAGGATGTTTTTTTCTGGGTGGATCATGGAAACAAGTGGTCCTCCCAATTATTCTGATAATATGTTTACGTAAGGCCGTCCTAAGCGCTCATCCCCATTTTCACTTACCTGGGGTGAGTCTGACATAGTGGAAAAATTGCAAATCTTCTTTTGGAAAGTAAGCTTGTATGATGCAAACAACAACTTTTAAATAGTGTGCACGAGGAGAAATGGGCTTGCTGCTCTAACACACGTTTGATAGGCGTTCCCTCTCGGGAGTGGATACAGGGTTGTGCATGGGCATTTTTTTTTTTAAGTGGAGAGGGCAGGTCTTTTCAAAAATTTGCGAAAATCCTCCACTATACCTTTAATGCTTGTGGAAGGTTGTGTAATCTTGTCCGTCTAGTATTTCCAACATGCATAGCTTAATACCTTTCTGTGATAATGCTTGGATTTATGGTCACCAGGTCTGTTTTTGTGCCCACATCTGCTGAGTATTTCTCTTTGATCGGTGGTACATTGCATCTGCAAACACAGAATGGAAAAAGAAAGATTTTCTTTAGATTGTATACATTTTTCTTTTCTCTGAAACAAAAACTTTGGGGTGCTAAATACCAAGACATTCTAAGAGAAATTCTAATGAAATACTAATTTTCCCCAGCTAGTTTTTACACTTCCAATATCTTGTCTTGGTGTTTGCTCAAGTGAAAAAGGCATCATAAAATATTATAAATGTCAAAGCTTTTAAAACATCAGGTTAGCACACTAAAATACTATTAATTGATGTGTCTAAAAGGAGAAAAGCTTAGCAATTTTGAATGTTCAACATTATAAATGTTTATTAAAACATAACAAGGGCAAACAAATGATAGGATAATTGGAGAACTAGATAATAACCTGTTTGGGATATTTTGGTTATTCCATATGAAGGTATTGACTAATCCAATAAAAACATTTTAAGGTTAAAATCATAATATTATTTGATATAGGAATTAAAAAAATACTTTATGGATTCCAAAGGAAATTGTAGCAGAATTACATATTGTGGATTTTTTTCAGTTTTTGTACACGTTGATCGCTGTTGGCAGGAAGGATGTTCTGTAGCTGTCTGAATGATAGAAACTTTTGACTGAAGGCGCTCAGTTGTTGTTTTACAGTCTTCTGAAGAGGATGTTAATGGCTGTCCATAATGTTTTAATTTTATAGAGAATTCTTCTTTATAAAATTATATCCAGAGGCTCTATACATGGGGTCACCAACTTTTTGAAGTTGAGAGCTTCTTAATAGGTACTGAGTCATACAAAGGGCTACCAATTCTGACATATAAACTAGAAGAGTCACCTGGACCTCATGTATGATAAACATATTCTTAATGTTTCTTTTAGATCCACCCCTTTTCAGAATCTGTAAATGCAAGTATAATTGTAAAAGAAGAGCAACAGAATAAAATTTTAGACTGTTGGTTGATGCTATCTTTAGGAGAGACTTGAGGGTATCTCATGTAGTCCTAGGGGTCGCGCTGGTGCAGGCTCGCATCATGTTGGTAACCACTGCTGTAGAGGAGTTCCTAGAATAGAGCCGGCCTTCTTTTTCAGCTTGATCAGCTTCTCAGATGCTTGTTTCGATAAGATGCCACAAAGTGCCACACACCTCCTATAGTGTTCTGCTGGAGCTTGCTTTCCAGCGTTTTCCTGTATGCTTCCTTGTTTTCACTTATCTTACCTCTAAGGTTACTTCTGTACACTGTCTTCCTTCCTGAAGTATATATATATATTTTTTTTAAGGTTTTGCAGTTCCTTTGTATCACTGGTGATGCGGGCTGTACTATTGGCAAGGATCTTGCTATTCGGTGGAAATCGTGTTATTTACATAGAGGTCAATCAACCGCACACAGTTATTGCACTGTAGCCTAAAAATTACCTTACAAGACTTGTTCAGCTTCCTGTGAACATCTTCTGCCAGTTATCTTTAATGCAGGTTGTCTCTAATAAAGGGGCTTATACAATGAGCAGAGAAAAACAAGATTGTGATTTCCTAAGAAGGTCTTACTTTGAAGGTGTATTATGCCCTTGACATTTGCAAAAATAAAGTCTAAGGTTTTGTTTTCTCTGGTACAGCAGCTGTGAAAAACCTTTGGAACATTTGCAGTATAGCAGAGAGCAAGGTGTGATTGAAATCACCAGGTATTGCCACAAATGTATTTGGATGTTGTTTTTGTAGATTATTAGACTTAGACTTCCTTTATTGTCATTGCACAAAAAACACAGGGTGAATCTTGACAATGAAATGTCGATTACTTGGCTACCAGTGTTACAGAGCTGGGACCTTATTCCTGCACAATAAATATGTTTTCTATGAGTAAGAGCTAGCTATATGATCAGCGGGAAGTTGAATTTTAAACAGTTGCCAAAACTATACTGGAGTACTCTTTGGGTAAATAATATAGACTAAAACAATTGCCGATAGTTCAATACCTGGGCTACAAAATTTCACAGTAGCATGTCCTGAATGACATCATCTGTTGTTCACAAGCACTGTTAACCCCCTTGAGTTTTCCAGCCTTCTTTAAATATCTGTCTGCTCATATGGTCAAAAAGTCAGCCAGAGAGACACTGGATTATTTCCTGCATACCTGAGAACAAAATCGGCTGAATCGATTTCCTTTCCACATTTGGTGTTCTTGATGATACCTCCATTTCCAATAACAGCACATTTTTTGAACTGGGATTTGGAATATGGCATATCCTAGATTTTAGAAACAAAGTAAAGAGGAGCTTTAGAGGGGGAAAAAAAACATACACACCAAAAAACCAGGTGATAAAAAGTGAACAAAAAAAGAAGCAAACAGGACATCTCACATCTGGGAACATCTTGAAGATCTCTGAGGTAATAGGGAGGATGCCACTGGTGTCCACCTCATACCTCAGCTTGGACCCGGCAGGAGTATTTCTCTTGGTGGTGAACAAAAAGGATGGAGCATTACAGCAGCGGGACAGAGACATCCTTTTGAAGAAAATAAAAAATATTATAAAGTTACTTCAGCTAAAAGTGAATTGATGATTCCACAATCTTTATACAGAACACCAAATTTGAAAAAATGAAGCCCTGTCTACACTATTTCCCAAAATAGTTTTTGTTCCCTTGTTTCTATTCCTTACTGATCACCTTGGTATCTCAGGTTAAAAGTTCAATGCTAAATGCATGGTCAAAGAGTGCCATCAAGTGGGTTAAATACTGTAAGTATGAACCAGATAAATATAGAAAATAAATTTAATGTACTGGTAATGTAGTCACTCCTGGCACCTGAGAAATCTTCATTAGTGCAGACTGAGTGTATGCACAGAGTTGCATAATATTATAACATAACTTTCCACTGTTTTATCATATTGATTAAATTTAGGAAAATTATACAACAGTGGTGTCTATATGTGCGATCTATCACATCCGAAAGTAGCAAGGGTTATGCTTCCGAGCCTTTAAATATGTCCAGAGAAATGGAGCTGAAACGTCAGATGAAATTATGCATGCTACAGAATAATATGCTTAGAAAGTGATGTTGGGGAATAATTTTTTTAAACTGAATATCTTCATACACATTTTAAGTAAAAGGCATACATGATGTAAAAGAACAGAGTTAGAATAGAATAGAAAAAAATTTGAATAACCAGCATGTTTTATTAGAAACTTCTTCTTTACGTTTTCAAATAAATATTTTTCTTCAGAACTTACAAATACTGTTATTTTCTCTCTCAATGCTGTTTTTTAAACATTATCAGAATAAAACCAGGAATTTAAATTATTATAGAAAGTATCTCTTATTTTGAGAAAAACTGTATAAAAAAATCTATATATTTGATAAAACAGGCTTTGCAAATACCTATCTTCAGATAAGCAGTTATTCTGCTGGATTAAATTAAACTTACCTAAAGTTGCTGGTCTCTTCTTTGTTCTGCTCCCATTTGCAGACCTGCAGATTTCGCCATCTTTCGAACAACTCTGAGGTTTTTACCCTGGTAGACACAATTCATAGATTTAGGACTAATACTTAGCACAGCAGTAAAATGTGAGATTTTAACAAATGCACTCAAAAGATTTTTTGGACTTTTCAAATGGTGACTTTTTTCCATTAGGGTGCTTAAGGTTAAAAGGTAGGATTCAATGGAAAGTCTTTGAGCAACCCAGCAGTAAATAAAGGCCTTTTGTCCAAGAGAATACATTTGACAGAAACTTTTAAAACCTCAAATTTGTGCATCAAGGCTGTGTGAATATTAATGCTATTCATTGTAGAGGGGGAAAAAACTATTTAGACTGTTTTTGGCACCTCTGGTATGTTGAGAATTGTAATATAGCTCAGCAGTAATCAGCTACATTATGTAAATATTAATTATAGTAACCCATAGAAAAACACTTAAAAAATACAGTAAAGGCTCAGGCAGAATAAAAGTCCTTAATGTTTAAAAAAAGACACATCATATACAGTACTACGTACATTTAAAGGGCATATATCAGAGTATTTGAAACCTAAAAAAAAACAACTAAAAGGTTTGAGAGTATCACATATACACCTTTATGTAAAATATTAAGACTTATTAAAAGAAATGAGACAGATAAAAACAGATTTTAAAAAATGCTACAATTCTTTAACTTGTGAACTTAGATTCTAATCTCATATCTGTCTGAGACGGCCATTGTTTTATACATTTATGCATGAGTTTGGCTTAGGATCTAACAAAATCACTCTTCAGCAAGTTACAACAAATTTTTAGCTGCCTAATTCTAGCTTTTATTCTCAAATTTTGAAATACATTTCTAAACTTCTACATGGACACTGAAATGATTAATGTGAGCTATAACCCCTAACACAGATTAATTGGGAGGGTGTATTTAGGCATTATCATGTCTTGATTCCATTTATGTGTAGCCAGGATATTGTATATCATAAAATAAGCTTTGCTTTTTGTCAGCATTGTTTTACACATTGTGCATTTTCGGCATATGTCAGATAAATTGCAAAGTTTAATGTAGAGTTGCTTTGAGGATTGTTTTTCAATTTCTGTGGTTATTTATGATTAGACTCAATTTGGCTAAAAGATATGGAGGAAAAAGTAAAATGGCAAATGTTGGTACATGAAAACATGACAAAAGTGAACACATAAAAACTCAAAATCGGATTAACATGACCTGGTAAAAATAATTTACAGATTATGTCACAGTTTCACAAAAGTAATTCTAGAGGCTCAAGAGCTCAACTAAAGTGCAGCAACTGTGGAGCATTAAGAACAGTTTTGGTCTGCATGCTTTGACCTATGATCCTTTTAATCGGTGTCATCCAATAGTTAGATAACAATCAAGTTTGTCTTTCTGTGTTTGCGGACATATTTTAATCAGTGTATTTCCTGGGGCTGTTGGTCAAACATTATAAGATCTTTCTTGCCTTCAAAAGTTGCAGCTACCTTTGAGTTCAATTTCTCTGGCCAAATACACTTGCTAACACTCTATGTGGAAATTGGATATAAAGCTTTAAAACAAACCAATCTAACTGCAGTAGCATAAACTCATGCTAAAAATTTAAAAAGTAATTTATTACATTTATATTCTTAAAGACATTTCATCCCATGGCTGCCTGTAACATTGAGAACTGTGAGAGAAAAGGCTAGATGAGATCTAAGTTTATCCTAAGTTTATCCTTCCATCCCTCGGCCATGCCACTGGACAGGAAATTAAAGCAAATGTTAAAGCTCAGAGTTAGAGAAAAGCAAGGAGTGGCTTCCAGGGGCAAACAAACATATGTAAAAGTAACATACTTTAAGGTTTAAATGCACATCTTGTAGTAACTGTAAAGGTTCCTGATAGAATTGATGATTGATAATCGTCTAGAAAGGAAATAAACTCACACTTCAGGTTGTGAACCATATACATTGACATGATCACAGACAGCTACTCACATTGTCAGGACTTTGACGTCCATAATCTCCTGTCGGAGCTCTCTGCAAGTCGTTGAGTTGAATTCAAACGCGCCGCCATAATTTTCCAAATACCTGCAGGAATAAATACAGTCATCCTCTATCTACAGCAACTGACTTAAAACAATCAACAGTATTAACAATAAAGTGGTTACCTTTTATATATATATATACATAACAAGGTATAAAATTTAACAGCAAAACAAGCATTAAGCACAATATGTCTAGTGTTTGTGAGATATTAAAAAATAAAGGTAGCAATTTGGGATGAGACAATGACAGAAGTGATGCAGCTGATTTTGGGCATCACAAACAGGACAGTAGTATTTTGCTTATTGGACACTTGCACCAGATTCTAAAACATCTTAGACTAAACCAATGTCATCCATTTAGTGAGGAAATATTAAACTTCTCATATTCGCACATGCTAAAGTAGATAAAATAAGACTTGCATGATATTAAACTGATATTATGGGGTTTAAATATGTTTCTGTTTTTTTTTCTCTTATAAATAGGAGTATTCAGAGAGAAAATAGGATTGATTTAAGCTTATTTGGTTAAAATGGGAAATGTTATAAAAGTGTAATGTCTAGTTAATATGTGTATTGGTGTACCTGCATTTGTACTAGCTGCCTAAAAGGTATTTTGTGCCTTAAATTCTGATTTTGTGCAGCTTTCCTCCACTGAAGACATGAACACATACACAAGTGGTCATGCAGACAAGGGATCATGTGAAGGATTAGCAACCAAGATCTATTTGAAGTAAATAAACTACAGTTAAAGAGCATCCTGCTTGTCAGATTATTCAATAATTCAGCCTAGCTGTAACTCATACTGAGGTTGGAGTAAAAGCCCTGCAGCAAAATATTTTTGGAAATGAGATCAGTATGAGTCAGTCAAAAATTCCATCACTATGCATGTATGCTTAGGAGGAAATAAAGCAATGTTGTCAGTTCAAACAAGCTAAGGGGAAACCACCTATATTGTAACATTTATAGCTCTATTTTGCTTGTTATAAAAACATTATTTTAAAATCGCACAGAGCCAGAACCTCCAGGGTATGTTGCATATTGAACAACATTGTCATTTTATAGTAATTTTCCTATTTGTCTTATCTTTCCTCTTTTTAGCATTCCATGTATAAATACTACAGTAAGTAGCTTAAATCAAACCAGTTTTCACTGTTATCTGAAAAATTTCCATTTACTTTTCTTTATTAACTTTTTAATCTGTAGGGCCTTACCATGCCTGTTTTGCCATTTGTACAATATCCCTTTTTTTTTTTGCACAATTCTCTACTGGAGGCGCATGACTGATGATAGTACAGTGGAAATAAGAGAACCTTTAAATATAACATTTCTGAATATAATTGGAAGCATGTATTTCTTTAAAAAAAAAAAAAAAAAACACTGCTATAAAAATGTGCAGGATGGCTGTGGATGGTGCAACTATCAGCAATCTTGGCTTTGTAATGCCAGTAGGGGCTCTCTGTGGTGCAGGTGTATGATTAATATCTATTTTCCCTGCTTCCCTTTAGCAAGCTACAACATGTGCAAAACGTTCTTCCAGAGCTATCAAAAGGTGTGCCGTACGGGTCCTACTAAAGCTTCGGTTCACAACATCTCCCAAATGGAGCCTAAGTCTAAAGCAGCATAGCTCTGTATAAAAAAGGTTAAAGTTCAATTCAGTTTATTTTTATGGTGCCAATTCATAACACATCTCATCTCAAATCCATTTACAGAGATAATTCAATCAGACCATTAGTCAGACTGGTAAAAAGGTTTCTATCAAGAATTAAAGCAGAATTGGCAGAATTAGTGAAGGTAAATGCATAGGCAAATATGGTTTGTGTTTTTACTGCTGGTCAAGAAACAATAATGCAGAGTTGCAAATACTTTTAGAAACAGTAATGTATGGAATGGCAGTGTGGACAAAATTTTTGGGTGTGGTTTTTACTTATGGGCATAGTGAAAAATGCTCTGCATCATGACTTCAGTTAAGTAATAATAAAATAAGGTTTTTATATCAACAAAAATAGGTAAATAAATTTTTCTGCGTAATACTCAACTTTTCAGTCATCTCTACTGTCTCAGTTAGTGCAGGTTTCCCAAATAAACACAAGTCATTTTCTACGTGATTGATTCTGTCATCATTAATTTGAAATGTTAAGCAAGATTATCTATATGAGTGTCTTGGATGTGATAGAATATACTGCTATTTTGAATATTGTTTGTCTTTTTGGTGGGTGAGGAAACAAATTATTCTATTTTTCCCTTATTTCCAATAAAGCAACTTGTTTTTTCATTAAAATTGTTACACAGTTGTTAATGCAGTGCATTATTATGCATCCCGTCCCCACAATTAGGTGAAGACCTCTAAGTTGGGTGCATATTTATTAGTCAACAGTTTCCTTATTCTGAAAAAAAAAAAAAATAATAATTTGATAACTTTTTGTCAATTTGAATCTAAATTCAAAATTGTTCCATTAAACTAAACAACCGCATTGATGTTAAATAGAGAAACAAATATGATTCAAAGGTTAAGAAAACAGATTCTTATCCAGATAATAGGGTTTAAAGTTGTGCTAATAGATATCAACCATAAGTCATAATGTTAGAGTTAAATTTAAATATTTTATAGGAAATGATCCCTTCATAAATCAATGTAAAATGGTACTTTTACAAATATCAGTTACATGTTGTTACTACATGCATAACAGTTGGGGAATGGCTGGATTTAGCTGCAAGAACAATGTCTGGTTTTTTACATGAAGGCTGGAATTCTTCAAATATTAAATGAGACATGAGTGTTAAAAATATGGAAAATGAAAACATTTCACCTGTAGGTCCGGAGATGAAAGACTTTAGTGATTCAAAGAAAGATACAAAGGAATGCAACGTGCAATACTTCCAAAGTGAAGCATCAAAGGAACAAGATGCTGGGATGAAATGGAGCAAAAACAGAAATAATGAAACTGGTTGTCTACATCCACCTGATGATGCAGTGTATTTCTGAGGTTGTTCTGGGTACATAGATTAGACTTGAGACATTGACCCGATTTGACCTTTTTTTTGTTTGCTTGTTTTAGCTAAGATGATGAAACCTTTGCAAGTGTGCTCTGTTCAGGTCTAAAAGCAAGTCATCAAATGATTAACGTGATTGGATGAATTTACTCTCGTAAGGCATCAAGGATCAACCAATCCGGCATTTTACCTCAGATATTGAAAACTCTTATGAAGATTTGGAGATTTGGAAGGGGTGTGTAGGGGAAGGGGGATCTTTCACATTCCTGTCTTCTTGTAACAGCAGGAAAGAGTAAAAGGAGCAAGTAAATCCAGGTCGCAGAGAGAGACAATGCAGATGTGAGAAGGGGAAATAGAAGGAGCAGAGGTAGGAATTTACATTATGTAAATGGTATACACACAGAAAGCTGTGTAGAACACGTCAGACACATGTTGGGGAGGAGAAGGCATTTGGAGATGGGTGCTGGATGGGGGACACAATGGGAGAATGAGAAGCCAGTACATCAACAGGAGACCGTGGCTCAACCAGCTTCAGAGGTGGTGAAGGGTTTGGGTGGGGGGGAAGGGGGTCGAGAGGGTTAGACAACATGCAAGAGTAAAGCTTAAGTGCAACCACTAAGAGACATGAGAGTTTGTACCTTTTAAACTAATGAAAAAAGAAAGAGGCATTCTTGGGTTTCTGTGAAAAGGACTGGAAAATGCCTTTAAACAGGCCTACCTTTGAGAGCGTAATTTTTTCTTCTTAATATCAGCTAGGCAGGGTGTGATTATTACGGAGATCTGTGAATCTGGCTGATTATTCTGACGGTAACATCTGTCAACATGCAGACAGGTCAAGTTAGAGTTAAATGTTGTTCTGCAACAGCATCACCCCCTGCCAACTTCCTGAACCTGTGGATTTTCAACACAAGAAGAAAAAAACCTGCGAAAGTGTTGCTGCTTGTGATCTTTCTACAGTGTCTTAGGAAACTCATTGGCGTATCCCAGTACACACATTCTGGTCTCCGTTGTCACTATAAAGAATTCTATCTTTCCTTCTCTTTCTCATACACACATACGATGTTGTGTAGTTAGTCAGGATTGAAAGGTACCTTTTCCTTCCATTTCTGGCAGGCTTCAGAGATCCATCATCGAAGAAATTAACGGGGCCGGTCCAATTTCCGGTCTCGTCCCCTTTGACTCGGCTAAACTGTTGTGCACTAGTAAAGAAATCAGTCAGTTTATTTGGTATTTATTTAGTCCTTGTTCTGTGCACACACATACATACACACACCACCATGTCCTTGTGTCCACCCATCAATCTTCAAAACTGCACATTCACATTGCTAGTTATGCACAACTCAAGAAAACATCACACCACACAAGGTATAAAAACATTTTTTTTTGCTGATGAAATTACAATTTCATTGTCTAATTTATGCTCTGCTAGGCTGTTTGCATAAATCTGTAAAACATTTTTACTGCTGAATTTTGGCCCTCAAGAGTTTTAGACTCTGATGTGCTAAAATCGATGTAATTTAAAGTGGGAAACAAATGTCAATAGTAAATGTCATTTTGTAGCTGAAGGACTGATGCCAACAGATTTATTCAGTCTTCTGTGTCCAACTTAGACATCTTTTATTGCTCATTTCTTCTGAACAATATGTGAAGAGTTTATTGATTCTTCCTGATTTTTTTCCCCGTCAAATTCATATTCCATCTATTCAAACATGATGAGGTGTGAAACCTTTAACATATGACTGACAGTTATGCAAGTAATCATATGAGTCATTTCTGTGAGTGCTCTGTGGGCGTTGAGCTAATTTCAGCGGGGGAGAGTGAACCCTAAGAGCCTCTCTGGATGCATTATGTGAGTAAGTATTTATCACAGGGGACTTGTGTCAATGCCATTTTGAAAGTACTTTTCGCCTTTCTGAGTGCCTCTCCAGCATCTCTGTCCTACTCTGCAAGTGGTGATAGAAGAACACACTGAAAATATAGGGTTTTTGGCTCGAAATGGGACAAAAGCTAATCGAGCAGAACAATTAAGGCACCAAAAAGCCGCCTACTGAAAGCTGATCACATAAACCTCCTAGTGTTATGTTAAAACTAATGCCTGCAGGAACATTTGGATAGTATGAGTCGCATGATACCAAGTACTTTAGTTAACCAGACTGAATGCTATCTACACCCTTTATATAAGCTGCTTAAAAAAGTTAAAAAAGTTAAAAAATAATCCACTGGACTTTTTTTTCCAAGTCTGAAGACATTTCGCTTCCCATCCAGGAAGCTTTCTCAATTTAAAATGTCTGGAGTAGCATTTGAGTTCCAGGCTAATAGAGTGGCACTAAAAAACATGCAAATTAAACTGAAAAAACAGATCCACCCCTTAATTGGGGAGCCATTGTGTTTGATTGTTGGCCTGCAATACCCGATACTGGCCCATGCCTCTGAAAAGGGGAGATGTTAGGGTCATTGTTGGCCTGGCTGAGCAAGCAAGATGTTTTGATCCCTGCATGGCGACAACAACTATATCCCTATATAACTGCATAGTAGTTTTATTAAAAGCTGGAACCTGAAACCACCCCTTCTAAGCCATAACACTGCTTTTTTTTATGCCACTCTATAGGCCTGGAACTCAAACACTACTCCAGACATTTTGAACTCAGAAAGCTTTCTGGATGGGAAGCAAAACGTCCTCAAACTTGGAAAACAAAATGCAGTGTTTTTTTTTTGTTTTACTTTTTCAAGTTTGTTAGAATGACTATGACCTGGGTAACTGAGAATCTTTATCAGCAACATAATGATATACTCAGTTCAGATATCAACCAAAGTATTAGCAAACAAACAAGCAAGAAGTGCTCTGCATCCACACACTCCACCCTCAGAGTCAGCAGTTCAGTAGAATAGGAATCTCTAGGATTTTTAACCTGCTTGATTTAGATTTTGACTTCCATTAAATGCATGTGCAGTGACCTTTATAAGAATCCTAACCAAAGAACTTAGGATTTACACAATGCATAAAGAAAGACTGAGATTCACTCTGATAGATCTAAACAATCATTTATCAGTTGGATTATTCAGTTTTCCACTTCTAAAGAAAAAAGGGCATTATTTTTAGATCCTGAACCAGATAGCTTCTTATTATTAAGATAGAGAATTAATCATTTATGGTCCTTTGGTTGTGGATTTGAATGTCTCTTTTCCCAGGTGGACCAATTGTGCAAAAACACTTTGTTTTGTTTTTTTCAAAACAAGCTATTCGTGCACACATTTGAATTAATTGTAGATGGTCTCTAATTATTAAAATTAGCTCAAATATAAACATACAGCTTTACTGATATTTGCTAAATGTAATCACAGAGCTGCATCTTAATCAAATGCTTTCTGAAAACATAATACATTTCTAAGTAAATTTCTCCCAGTTCTTTAATCACTTTTCTTGAACTGTTAATTAAAGCTGTTTATTCTACATCCGGAAACCAAGACACCCTTCTCCAAAATACAGATTTTGTAGGTAGCCATCTAAATAATTCAAATATGTTGGTAAAATGTTTAGTCAAGACACAAAAACTGAGCTACAATATTGTACTGTGAGTTCATGTAGCTGTCATCAGAACCCCTACATTAGACAAAGAAGATAAAAACATGAAAAGAATGAGTAGCTCCAAATGCGTCAATGTTTACCTTAAATCAACAGATAAAACGTGGATATAATTGGGTGCTCTAACTGAGTATTAAACATCAAAACTATTTTTGAAATGAGTAAAGCAGACAACATAAAGTTTAAGGAATGGCCCTGAAATCAAACCATTTAAGTTTATGTACTGTGAAAGGTTTATGAAAGGTGGTTTGGTGCCAGAACAGCAGCTTATAAAAATTAGCTGTACTATTTTTATATCCAGACACAATTCTGCCAGAGCTTTGTCAATAGCTCCAGAAAGTATGTAGTTTCTCTGAAACTTCCAAAGGGTTTTTAAACATGTGTTATAAACATATATTGAGCTGTTGTTCAAATGTTTGATTCAGAGTTTATTAAAAATAATACATTTTAGATTTTCCACTTAATTCGTATAGATTATTTCTTGGCTATTCTGGATATATTATTATATTATCTACCCTGAAAGTATCCAGTTTGAAAAAATAAACTGTAAATTTAATGATTGCTCAGAGAATAAATTCCTATATTAGATCACCTTTAGGATCAATGACATCTTCTCACACCCACTCAACTTTGGATGGTTACAAACCAGCCTCTTCCAAACCTGCAGCATTTGCTCTAACCCCCCTGACAGAATATTTTTAGATGTCACCAGTGTCTCTCTTCACCAAAGTATGTCACTCAGAGACATCATCAGCTACCTCCAGCTCTGTCTTTTTCACAGTCCATTATTCCTCATAGCCTGATGTCAAGGATTACAGATTAATAACACATCTGAAATACATAGAAGGCACCTTAATGTTTTCTGTGCTGCATGCATACATGCCCAGTTTGCAGGACTCTTTGACATTATTAGCAGGCTTGGCTTTGAGAGAAGAGGAAACTGGGTGTGGTCAGACACGTGGAGGACCTCTTTACTATTAATGCGTATGGAAGGCTTTGTTTAAATTACAGCTTCTCTTTTTTCTTCCTCACTCTGCACACACATGCAAACACACGCATCTCATCACACCTTTTGCAGTCTCTCCCCCACCGTCTCCCCACTTGTGCAGACAAGAATGAGGCAAAATGGCGGCCGCTGAGCCCACTGGTGTCTGTTGTGCAGCTTGTTCCCGCCTCTCTCCCATAGAGGCTTGGTGAAAAAGCAGTGCGTAAAGTTGATGCGAGCATTGAATCTGAATTCATGGATCTCTTTAGGTGGCGGTCAGGATGCATGAATCCAAACTGAGTTTATTAGAGGGGGGCCAGCAGGGTGACAGGGGATGGGGGTAGTGGGAAAACTGGTCCTGCTGCACATATATGCTTGCTTTGAAGGAAGCATGTATGTGCTTTCTCTGTAAAAAAAAAAAATATATTTGAGGTGAGGGGTCCTTTTCCTGGAGTGTGAATGGGCGTTCCTTGTGAGATATCTCATATGGCAGAGATATAACATCCCAGCATCTGCTTGTTTCACACTGATTCATTAAAAAAATTTAAAATCTCCTGAAAGTTGAGGAAAGATGGCTCATTGAATGGGTTTTAAAAGGGGACGTGGAAGAGGGCTCAGCACATATCTTGCAGAGCTGCTACAGAGTTGGCTCTGCAGTGGCTGTGTGGACCAATAAGAAATACACATCATCGTTTACGTGCTGCTAATCTGCAGTCATGGTAGTAGCTCATTTGCACTGTGAGAATCAGATGCCTCTGTAAGATGTAGGCTATGACCAGTCAAGAAGGCTGAAACAGAAAAACAAAGGCTTTTGGGGGGAAAACATCACCATATACAGCTGGACTGCTGTGTATGGTATGAATTATGATGCTTAATATTTAGAAAATATCAAAAATAAATTCTATGCTGCCAGGGAGAAAAAAAAAAGATGGATGGTTAGTTGCTATTGTTCTTTTAGGTCATTTAATGATCGTTTATGCCTGTTTCCTAAAACGTAGCTCAGTTAAAAACACTCGCATCAATAATGAGTAATTGTAAATGTTATCATGCATGATTTATCCACACTAAACTATTCATTAGTAGGAAAATTACTACATAGGCATGCTTTTTAGGTTTTTTAATTTTTTTAAATTTTTTTTTTGTATCAATCACAAAACTAATTTGCTCTGAAAGGGAAAAAAGTAAACACTTACCTCTTGATGTAATTTTTGCCATAAAGAATCTGCTGCAAAAGCGTGACGAGTCCAAATGCGCAAATAAATATGAAACACAGGGACCTACTGCCGAGAATATCTTTGCCCGACGAAGGGTCGGAGTATGCCATCCTTCGGCGCAGCATCCAGAGCTGATGGTGACACCCGGAGAGGTGTCTCTCTGCGCTGCATTCAGAACAGGAACAGGTGCCTCATCATAACCGAGCTGAGCTGAGCTGGACATCCATCGCCCGCCACCTCTCTAGGCTGTTTCTCCGCTCTCCAACCGGAGCGTCATTGTTGATGACCGAAAAAGCATCTCAATTTATCACAAGATCTGATGGTTTCTGCAGCGGGTGGTTCTGCGTCCAAAACCAAAATATATGGTTTTTGTCGTCCCGAGTGGTATGCAAAAAAAAAGAAGAAAAAAAAGACAAAAACAAATCAGGAATTGAGGTTTACTCCTTCTGAAGGGTATTTATATTGCTGATATAACAGCGATAGGATAAGACATCTCCCGTTATGTCTAATGTCAAATATGTGCAAGTAGACGTGACTGCAATAAAAAAAGGATGATGCGCTTTTCTCAGTGAGGCTGACGGGGGCGCGCCGCGCGCCCCTCACGTGCTCCTTACTCAGCCAAAGCCCAAGGTCATGGACCGTTTTCCAAGGATGTACCAATGCACTCTCAACATCTCCTACCAAAAAGGTCTCCTGAAGCCCCTATGCAGAGGTTGCGCCTAAACATTATAATGCAGACGTTCTTTACAGACAAATGAGTTTAATTACACCGTAGACCCAAAGCAGAGGCAGGAAGGCAGAGATTAATTTCAAGTTGTTTTAATAATGAATAAAAAAAAAAAAACTAAAAACAGAGACAGGTTATCCAAAAATCCAAGATGAAAACCAGAGTCCAAATAAACAGGGAGACCAGGAGTCTAAAGTCTAAAGATAAAAAAAATATGAAAACACAAGTCTAAACGTACCACAAAAAAACACCATGCATGGAGACATCAGGGGAATCAAAATCACAAGGAGGGAGGCTCAGAGAGACGAGTAGGAGGTATTTATAGGAGACAGAAACAAAGAGAGGACTAATGAGCAAACTGGGAGCAGGTGTGCACAGAGCAAGAGAGGAAAAGAGCTAGGGAAAAAAGGAGAACATAAGAGGGCAGCAGAGGGCAACAAATGAAAAACCTGGAAGACTGGAAATAACTAGAACACAACAAAGAAATAATAGTTAAACCACTAGGACTATAAAACATGGAGAAAAGTAAAACTAAACACTCAAAAGAAAACATAACAGAACCAAGACTGACACAGTTACTGAGAAAAAAACCAAACAACAAAATAAACTAAGAATTAAACCACAAAAAACTAAGAAACAAAGAGAAAAGCAAAACTGGATACTCAAAAGAAAAACATCAAAGAAAACAGAAACCTAACAAGGGTCAATCTACACTGTTCCAACAGGAACAAGCACAACGTCCATATTCATAAATAAAGACAAACTATAGTTTCCTACAACCTTTGCTAACAAATAGACGCATATATTTAAAAATCCGTCTAGATAAAAGGTGTATTGGATCTAATTATTTTAGGTTAACAGTTCTGGAGCGAACATCTTTTCCATCCACCTACTTTTATCTATATCATTCTACAATAAATTTATATTTACAAGTACTAATATCTATATAAATTGATAATTTAATAGGTTTTTAAAAAACATATTTACAGTAACTATGATTTCACTGAAGACTTTTAGATGACTTGCAGAGACACATAATTTTCTCTTTACGGCATATAACACAAAATCTAGTTCTGAAAGAGCATGAATTCTGTACAAATCAACTTTAATGTTGGTATATTGATGTACATAATTAACCACAGTGTTTTTGTTGTCAGGTAATTGTTAATATATATAAAATTAAAATGTTTTGAATATTATACTTGAGAGAAAAAATGGTAGGGGTGGCCACAGGGGTAGCCAATGATTGGCTAAGGGTGGCCATGGCCCCCCAATCGAGCTCCACCCATGGAGACAAAGCATTTATGAAACAGGGCTCCCTTCTACCATTGGCAACATGGCTCACTGCCCAGGGCGCAATATCAGAGGGTACAGTAAACAAATAATGTATTGTATTGGAAAAGGTAGCTAAGAAAAATATTTGTACGCCAATGCAGGCTAATGGAGGTCGTCTGATCTGAAACGGAAATTCGATGTTAAATTAATCAATTTTTTTTTTTTTTACGTAGGCTTGTTAAACCAGAAATAATTAGATCTGAACATAGTTTAATTGAAAGACTGGAGATTCATATTCATTAAATTTTATACAAATTTTTAAATCACTATTATGTTTTCCGTACTCTGTGGGAATTGACCTTAATTGCATGAACAAAGAAAAAGTTGCCAAAGGCATGCACTTCAAAAAATGTAAATCTTAATAAGTATTTTTTTCTTAAAACAAGTGCATTTTGTCTTGAATTGAGGAGGTAAGTTAGACACATTGCCAATGAAACAAGACAATTTATGTTTAAAATAAGAAAGACCAATTGCAGTCTCTTACTGTATTTCAAGTGCATATTTTAGTAGTAAAAATACTCATTCCATTGGCCGATCATCTTATTTACCTACTAAAATTGAGGGTAAATACACTTCATTTAAGAAGTTTTGTTTTTGCAGTGTGAAATGGTAGACACAATTTTTTCTGGAAGTATATCCAAGTTTTCTTTTGCAACTCATAACATCTTGTTATGCTAAATGATTTTAACTGGCAAGCCAAGATCAAAGAGAATTTCACCAGACCATACTGCTCTATACTGCTCACTCCTCCGGCATGTCAACCTGAATGCATATAATAGATAACTTAGATAACTTAATATTCTCTAAAATTATTACTATCCATCCATCCATCCATCCATCCATCCATCCATCCATCCATCCATCCATCCATCCATCCATCCATCCATCCATCCATCCATCC